CGCTCACAGCACTCAAAAATCTGGAACATATTGACCTAAGCGGTTGTTTGTTGGTTTGTTTTTATGCGTTTTTTTTTTTGATGCAACTGCTGCACAAAACACATATTGTCGAGACCGTGTGTGCGCATGTGTGTGTGTGTGTGTTTGTATGTGTGTGTTCCGAGTGTATTTTTTCTGTTCCGCTCAGATCTTTGGTACATATTGTTTTGTCTTCTTTTTTTTTAAAAAAAACTCCAGTATTTTTAAAAGTGTTTTTTTTTTGTTTGATAGATTTCATGGAAATTTAACTTGCTAAAATTGAAGATTCGAAACCACGGATGCAAAATAACCAGTCCCATTGCGATCCGCTGATTTTCATCGAGTATATTTTGTTCTGACACATATTAGGGAGATAAAGTCGTCTTCGGTGTATCCCTGAAGAAGCTGGCCTGTCGCGCTTTGTAAATCTTTTCTCCTAGGGCGATTAGAAACTGGATTTGCCTCTTTTAAGAAACTGGATTTCGGCATTTTTTTTTTTTAAAAATGCATTTAAGAACATAATTATTTTTCTTACGATACTAGGATTTTTGATGGAATTCGAATTTAGCATTTTGATTTTTAACTATTTTTTTCAGGTGACCTCAAAGTCAGTTCAGGAATTGCTAAATGCTTTCCCGATTGTTGATGATTCGCGAACTGCTAAGGTAATATTTGAGTGTTAATTCAGTTTTCGATTTTATTTTTAAATACCGACTTTGATCAACTTTTGTTTCATTTTTAAGTAAGCGCTTGATTTTTAAAATTTTAGGCTGTAACAATTGTTATTGGCGGTACAATCTGTGATTTGGCATCATTACGTTTGCGAAATTCTCGAATGGTGGTGGATACGAGCGATTACAGTGCAATTTCGAGTAACACTGCACGAGGGCTTCTTTCAAGTACTTCCGGATTTCTTGGTATCATTTTTTAATCTGAAAACAACTTGTTTTCAACAATTTGTGATTTTACTGCACCTATCTGTTCAACTGTGCTGAAGGCAATGACGTACGAATGCGAAACGTAGTCACTTACGAAGGGCGACTGGATGCAACGAAGAGAGTGATGGAGCGAAGGATGCTTGATGTATCTCTTTGTGAGCATATGAACAATCAGACTTTCCGTCAGATAAGCAACGTGCAGAATATTGTTGCAAACTTACACGAGAAAGTGAAATCTGAGAGTAGAACACGTTGTTCGCACTGCTAACAATCGGTGGAAGTAGCGCATTAGTAAGTAGTATTCACGAACGAGAAAACAACCGTTCGGGTGGTTCCCTGAAGAGGTGACTTACATGCATTAAATTCGCAGTAAATGCCAACTGAAGGTATGTATTCCAAGATCGAAAGGCTTGGCATAAGAAAAATTCTG